TAGATATCGGTTCTCTTTCCTTTTTTTTATCCATCTATCTTGTCATAGTTTTTAAGTATTTTCGTTTTTGTACAAATTAATATGAACGAATTGCCCATATAAAATGCATTCTTCATGAAAAATACTATTGTTATACATATTATAATATATATAAAATGTTTTGTGTAATAAAAAAAAAAAAAAAAAAAATGTATTTTTCATTTAATAATTTATTATTTATAATGTATGTACCATTGTAGAATAGGTTTATATCCAACAAAAACCCCTGGGATCTATCGCTTCACCGTATTACAATAAGTTTCAAATGTATAGTAGGTAGTAGGTACCATTCTATGTTGAAAGAGATCACTGAAACGGATGTGTTAAATCTGATTTCACATTAAACTAGAGTAGTATTTTTTGTAATTTATTATATTATTGTTATCAACACCTCACTGAAATACGTTTATATTATAAATAGATTATCTTTAAAATTAATTAACGTATTTTGAAAATCTCAATACGTATTGTGAAATTTTTAATATATTTAAAAGTTTTAAGTTCCCACGAATAATGTTTTTGAATTACAACAAACAAATAAATATCGTTATTTTATTAAAATAAATAAATTAATTAATTTTTTACTAAAATACGTGTGCTCAACCAAGTTCTTAGAACAAATATTTTAAACAAAATGAATTGTTTGTATGATTTTTAATTTTTTTAGTTTTAGTATGAATTAATTACGCAAAATCTTGTATTATTATAAGTTAATTTACACATTAGCACAACAAGTAAAGTATTATGTATATAAGAAAATTATTATGATATAAAAGTTTAGAATTAATTTATATGTTAAAAATATTTTGTTTTAAAAAGCTTAACAAAGAAATTCAACACTTCCTCTCTCAAAGAGGTTTCTTAACCATCTGCGTTTAGGGTCTACGATAATATATCCTGGCCTGGCAACAACTACACATTTTTTGCTTAATTTCAACAAGTTTTTTTCACCAATATTTTTCTTCATAATGTTTTAAGTAACTTTGATTGCTGCTTTAAAACCACATCCAGTGCCTATTTTACGTTTTGCTTTCATTGCTGTAGTCATGCTCCAAGCCACTGCTTTTTTTTTTAAACTAAAATCTTTCGATTTGAATCTATCCCAAACTCGTTGTTCTAATATATTGTCAGCTTCGTTACGACCTGTGATGCTCTTGTGCGATATCGTGCTTTTTGCGAGCATAGTCCAATGGATTCATACTTTTATCACCGCGAATTAAATTTTTTTTTTAAATTTGTATCAAGTCCACAATATTGATAATAACCTATAAAAAATAATTATGAAATATCGAATATAATATTACCAGATTTATATTATAATACCTGCAGGTACATAAAGCTCGGCGAGCAACTTGTTTATAAGCGTGTTGATAAGACTATCGCTTTTATTCCTGTTGTTTCTTCAAAGTATAACAGATAGTAATATACAATATTGAATATTTTGATGTATATCTTAATAATAATATAAAATTTGCTTATTAATTCTGCTTCATCTTGAACTTTAAATTCTTGGTTCAATTTAAAATTTTCAATCTTGTTTGTAATTATTGCAAGATTATTTTAATATTATTATCTACAATAAATGTATAAATAAATTGGATTGAAAAAAAATGACCTTGATTAAACGAGTAAAATTTTAAACATTGATCTGTATTCATCATTAATTCAGTAAAATATTTTTATTGCGATTAATTTTAACAAAACTAGCTAAAAGTGCTAAAACTAATCTATATAATATCTGTATAAAATAAATAATAATATATTAAATTAAAACAACTAATAATTAGCTACCTACACTTATAAAGTTAAATCAGTTATTGTTTTCAGGTATTAATGTGTAGGTTTATTTTATATTTTATTCATTGATAACACAACATTTTCAGAGGAAGTATGAAACAACTAAATGAATTAATTAGAAGAAACTAAAATAAGTGAATGGTATTTTACTGGATTCAAAGATTTTACATAAAAAATATGTTTATTTTATTAAAAAACTGAGGATGTACATTGTGCATGCTTGGTGAATCATTATAAAATGGAGATACCTACATATCTATATGATATAAAAATTAAACAATATTCTTCTAGAAATAGTATTTACACTAAGAAATATAAGCAATAAAGCCCAAGAAAAAAACATAAACATATGTAATATGTATCTTTATGTTGACTATATTTTGAAACAATTTTCTATATCAGCTATTTGCCTATATTTGACGAATTATGAAAATCAAATAAAATATTGTATACATAATGTATTTGACTATATACCTATATTAAATATAATGTATAGATCTACAAGAGTTTTTTTATTACCATAATCTAAAAACATTACCCTTATTATGTATCCATTATTTTAAATAAATTCGTGTGTGCATTATTGTCGTATTTCATTATTGTGTACACTGTGCAGTGTACACTCACATAGGTATTTGAATATCGCTTAATTTACATAATATGAGAGATCAGCAGCACAGTTTAGGATTTTTAATGTCAGATTTTTTCCATTCGGTATGTATGCTTTGATGTGTCTATACTTATATTGCGTAGCCCTACCTGCGGCTGTCGCAATCCAACATTTTTGGAGCGAAGATGAATTTTGTCAAAATCTGAATGCAAAATATGTCAAAAATAAACAGTTAATTAAAATTGTAAGTACCTATCCTATGAATTAATTAACATTTTTACGACAAATGTGTTAGATAAGTTATAACTATAGACCATTATGAATAATAAGTACCTACACCATAATCACCTAATTCATTACTATATTATTATTAGATAAATGCCTACAAATGAATTATTGAAATTATTTAATTTATTAAAAGTACAAGTTTCGTATGAAAAAATTTAAATGTCATTTTTATAAATATATTATTAAATGAACTAAATAGTATAATTCCAAATGCGTACACATATTTTATTGTACAATTATTTGTATAACTATTTTACGCATATAACATATAAAAATCATAACTAGAATCCGTTTGTTAATTTTTTAAATGATTAAAGTATGATGCAATTTATACACTAAAACTTTGAAATATTTCATCTAATTTATGATTTTCTTTTAAAGTTCTTAAAACATTCAAAATATATGGTACTTCTAACAGTACTGTTATTCTATTAGAGTAATAGCAAGTAGGTACACGAAATAAATATTTTGATTACCCACTTAAAAGATTTGTTTAAAATTAAAAATAATACAAAACACATAATAGACACATTTTCTAAACTTAATAAAGTGCTTTTTTTGTAAATTAATGTTCGTTCCATCAATATTCGTTTATTTCCATTAAAAATTGAATAAAATTATAAAATTAGATAATTAATATTATCAGCTTTAAAACTTTAAGATTAGGCGTCGGCCCTTAAGGCCAAAATAAACCTTTCCTTTTCCGACCAGTGTCGCTTTTCGGCCAAAACTAATAGTTCCCTTTTCGGCCAGTTCAATTTTCTTTAAAATTTACAAAAATCACAACTGAACTTGACAATTTTTATACTTAAATTTCAATTAATATTATATCAAACTAGTAACAACTCTGGTTCATCTTTATTTCCATAAAAACCAATTATAAATTAAATTAAACTCGCATTAAATACTACAAAATTTGTCAAACAAATATTGTTTAGTTAAAAAAATTAATTCTTCATCTTAATTTTTAACATATTCATGAATCATGAAGGAATATTTTTTCAAACAAATATAAATAATATTTTTGATAGGTAATTAAAAATCATATTTACAATTACCTATACCTATATACCAGGTATCATATTATAATTTATAGCCATATAGCCATCTCCAGCTATATGTATGAGTATAAAATGTTAATATATGAAGTGGTAAGGTAGTAGATATTTCTTTAAAATGGAGAAACATGTAATTCCATACGTGTTTATATAAAATGCTATACATATAAACGACCGTATTATGCATTAGTACGCGCGTAGCCGTAACCAATAACCAGTCTCGCCTGATACTGTCAACTACGTGTTAACTACGACTGACTACGACAATGATGTACGTACGTTGAAGAATGACTATTAAAAATTTAAGAGGACGTGATACCCGCATGTGTTGTCTCCGTCTTACAAATGCGTAACATGGCAAATTTACCTCAGCAGATCGTTTATGGATTAATTAAAAATTAAAGTGAAAAATTTATAAGATTTATTTATTTATCTTATAAAATTTAAAAGTAAAAATATTATTTGAGAACGACCTCATGGCTTTTACTATATTTTAATTTTGAAGCGAGTTATGAATTTAAGACGAACATAGAATTATTTACAATTTTATAACTCAACTCCTCAAAGAATTAAAATTAATAAACACCCAGTGTCTAATATTATCCACTGTTTAAATTATAAAAGTCATCTCACGTCAATTTAATTCGAAGCAAACGTGACTGCTACCTGGCTACATTTCCCAACAAACAATTTGGCTAGCGAATAAATACGGTATGCTCCAATATAAAAGAAAACTGTAAATAATATTTCAAACAATATGGTGATTATTTGTGATTTATATTTATATATGTATTAAGATATAAATTAATTTCAACAAAATATAGAAATTAGAAATGCTTCATAAATAATTCAAACTTATAATTCAATTGATTCATTAATTCTACACGGTTAACGATATAACGATAAATAAACGGTCAACATAGAAAGCTAGCTCCGTGAAATGACAATAGGTAAAATGGTGAGTCTGGTATCAACACATATTGACGACCGGCCATCGACAGATGTAACATTAATGTCCAACCACGTCTACAGTGTTATTTTCCGCAGTGTAAACGATGTCTAAGCCGCGGGTTTACAGCTACGTTATCTGACTTATTGTATGTTTTTTCACGTATTCTGAGCTGGTCTTAGTAACCTCGATATCATTTTTAATACTATCTACCGGGAAATGTTCAAGCTGGGTGATGGATCAGGCTTAACTCTTGGACATGGCACGACAGTCGACTTATAGCTGTGAACTCGGCTTTAAGGCATGGTACATAGTGACGGCATATAGATAGCGTAGAGTTTACGACCAGCGATACTCGCAAGTGGTCATGGGTACACTCAGATATAATATTAACGCATACACTTTAGATTGATGAGTCGCAAATCTTTTACGTCGTGATAACATTGTTTTAGAACCATATGCAATGTACAATAATAAATTATTATACATTAATGTATATTGCGATTGTGGTATCACTACACGTATAATATATTTTGATGGAATACTTAAAGGGACCTTGTAGAGTTTATAATTATTTTTATAATTTATAAAGAATTTAAGAAAATGACATAGAGCTACCGTTTATACTGTTTATAAACATATATTTGTTTATACAATTCATAATAATTTGAACACGACCATAGCCCACCTACATTATATTATTTATAACTTCTATTAATTGGTACGCTCATTTTACAACGCCCATTATTAAGTGTAATTAACTAAGTACTGATATCAATATTGAATGTATCCATGCATTATAAATTATGATGTATATACGACAAAA